GTCCGAGGCCAATCCGTCCCCCGCTGTCGAAACGCAATACGATTGTTATGACATCAACACCGCGTGCCGTCAGGATCGACGTGGCTTCAAGTACGAGTTTCCCTTTTTTTTTCCTTCCCCCCCCTCCTCATTCCCGCGAGCGTGCGTGACGAAGATCCGTCGAACAGTTTTCGTCTCGTTTAACATTCCGGGACGCTCACCAAACCGTACAGACAACAACGATCGCCGCGTGATCGAATGAACACGCCGTGTCGATGTAACACGTTATCGTAGAGTGTTTTAAATTTTTTTTTTTCATATAAAGACGTGTGGCCGGAACATGTTGCATCGTCGCGGCATCGAGTTTACGAACACCGTTCGCCGTTTCGACGTTGAATTCGATTTTTACGCGCAACTCCGGTCGTCTTACGTCCGGGAACCCGTAGCGTGTTCCTCCACGTGTCCGAAACCGCAACGATAAAGAGTTATTCTTGCACGGGTCCCGCGGGGGCCCACGGGCGCCCGAAGCAGCGGAAGGCAGGGACTCCGCGGACCTTCCGTTTCCGCGGGGACGAATCCCGGGACTCCACGGACCCGTCCGAATTAAATCGTGGCTCGCACCCTCGCATCGTCCATGTTACCGTTTGTACCGCATCGTTTGAAAACAACATTTGAGCATGTGATTGGATTTCATGGATAAAAATATCTAAATCCGTTTATTATTGATGCCTATCAATAAATCGCTATAATCACTTTTTGATGAAGAAACGGTGAAAAACAAGGTTGACAAACAGGACAGTCCCGGAAAACAGGATTAAATGCGTCCTGTTTAATTCCGATTGAAAAAACAGGACAATCCTGTGTGAGACAAGACGTTTGTCGCCCTACATTAACACGTCGGCGTCACGAAGCAACGGGATCCTCCGGAAACACACCGGTTGAGTCGTCTGGGTGCACCGTTTCTTCCGAAACGGAATTCGACGTTGATGTTCCGCAGCTTTCGGGGCCCGAACAAAACGACCTCGACGGCGGTGCCGAGGCCGAGGAAATCGATCGGGGCGTAACGATGCGATGGCGTCGCACGAAATCAATATTATTATTTTATTCGCGAATAAACGGAATGATACAATATCACGAGGGTATTGGTTGTTTTTTTTTTTTATTTTCGTTTTCGACGCCCGTACCTCGCGATTAGCATGACGTCCACGAGCGTCGAACCGCAAACACTGCACTGCGGATACGTTACACTAAAATATGTGTACACCATCGCGCGCAGCGGTGCACTAGCGCATACCTGTTAGACCCAATCGGTCGTCGGGCTTGAGTTACGCGCGACGTTAAGACGCGACGTGCTCCAGCGATCGGGTCGTAAGGTGTGCACTTTGAAAGCGATTTATTGTCAAAAAAAATACACGTACGGCGCTGCATAAAATATTTACACGTCCGTCGGGCGTCGAGTGGTAGGGACGAACGTAAGGCGATCCGCTACCTGTGTGTATACAGGTATAAATATCGAACTCGGACGTTTATTTTCTCTTTTGTCAAACGCGCGTGTGATTACAGTACCGACCTACGGGGCGCGAGTTTCGAATAAATGTTTCGATCGCATTTCGCCGTACACGAGTGCCGTGTGTAGAGCGCGCGAACGACGATCAATTTATCGTCTACAAAGCACCGGACGATCGACACGGGGTTAGATGTTGCGGACCGCCTCCGCCGAAACAAGTTTTAACTGTTTCTTCTCCCGATATGCATCATGCACAAAAAATAGTCAAACGGTCTAAATATTTTACTCGTAAACCTGACTCGTCCGTTCTGCCCGCTCAACGGTTGCCGAACCAGAGTTTCTTTCGATCACGTCGGACCCCCTGCGCCGAAAACGAATCCCGGTCGCGTGCGAATAAATGGCGTACGGTCCAGGGCCGGCGAGAACTTTTCAGCGCCCCTCAACTAACACTTGTTCGGCCAAGACGTACATACTACTTGTACATATTTTGGTACGATGAGAACATTGTGTAAAACGTTGAGACGACGGGTCCCGGGGTTCTATTCCTCCCTGCCCCAAACTCTCGTTGACCCTGCGTATGACACAGCGTAATCAGGCCCTTAGGCATCACGATCCTGCGCAGGGCTACAGCCGGCAGACCCGTAACGTGCGAAATCGTTGCGGCGACGCGACGGGTAAAAGGCGTCCGAACAGACACGTGTGGTCATGCACGCCGTTATTGTTGCACGTCCGCCGACGCATTCGGAATGCACGCGATTTTCGACGGTTTTGGGACGTGCCGTTTCCGGTCGGGATTGGATTTTTTTGTTGTTTTTTCGTTTTCTACTGGCTATTTCGGTTGTACAACAATTGAACCGAATGTCGGATATCCGATATCCGGTGTTCATCGAACGACTGAAACAGCAATTACTCGCGGGCGTCCTCGTCGATTGTTCATTATTTGCGCGCGCGCACGCGAAAATCATGACGTCGAAAACGTACAACGTAAATCGACCACGCTTCGGTGCCCCGTTCAACTTTCTGCCACCTTTCCAACACCAGCCCTAAGCAGGGGCGTAGTTCCAGGGGAGTTCCACCCTCCAAGATATTTTTTTAAATGATATTTAATTATTATTTATTAATATTTACGTATTACAGTAAAATCATGTTTTCATTTCACTATGATTAGGTATGTATTAAAAATTGAGTATCAAAATAATTTCACATTAACTACGGGAAATGATAATAATAATGTAATATTATTGTATAGGACCTCGTATTAAAATATGTTAAGAACATTATGAATTGACTCTTAAACACCCCGCCCTCCGGAAAAGAATTCTATCCACGCCACTGGCCCTAATCCACGGTGTCGCGCGACACGGAGCAATAGCCTTATCGCGCGTCGTGATGATAATTAATGTCGTATACGTCGGTTAACGTACACGTCTGCAGCGAAAAGCCGGATCGGAACATCGTCGAACGACGAGCGCTACGAACAACGAAATGTGCAATAAACAAAAAAGCGATAAAACCGTTTTTATTCGTCTTGTGCGCGCCCATAAACTCGGAAACGTTTTGCGATCCCGCCGGATAACGCGCGCGTGGTTTTATCCCGTTCGACCGCGTCCGTGTATATACGATCGAAAAATTTAAAACCCTCGAATCCTTTTTATACTCCTCGTATCTCTCTCCCGACCTCATTCCTTTTTTCTTTCCGTCTCCTCCGCCGCTGCGCGACTCTTTCCCGGCGGACTTATTAATTTCAATGTATCCGATCTCATCTTTTACCGTCATTGCAGACGCCCAGCCCACCCGGTACGAGTTCCGCAAACTAATTTGCATTCGTATGCATTTAAATGGGATACCGTGTACCTTTATTCTTGGTCCGCCGTGGCGTAAAATCGAGCCGTTTCCCACCGTTTGTAACTGATATTAATCCTTTCAATTAATTCTTAAATATTCAAATTGTTATTATTTCCGCGTAGCGTCATCATCATCATCATCATCATCGTCGTCGTCGTCATCATCATAATCGTCGTCGTCGCCTAGCGGTTCTGCAGATATTTCAATACTAGACATAGGCTCGTGCGATACGACGATACATATGAAATCACATAATCGCACGGTGTATAACATGGGAGCGTGAAATGTACAACACGTTACGAGGAACGCGGACACGGCGGATTTAATGCCGTTCCGGAAAAAGTTATCGCCACGCGTTTTATATTCTGGTGCACGCGTATCAACCGTACCGAGCTATGTGTACGCGCACAATGTCACGCGTATACGCTGTATATTATGTCCCTTTCCGTACTTCAGTGGCGTAGCCAGGGGGGGGGGACTGAGGGAGCTGCAGCCTCCCCGAAATGTTGAGAAAATTAGATTAATGGTCCATGAAAATCGCTAAAAAAGTAAAAATATTTAAAAATTTTATTATTAACACTTTACAGCTATCTGTGGTAGTAGGTAATTAACGCATGTAATATTGTGCATCGGTGTCGCGAAAAACCAAACCACCTATGTGTAAAAATTGATCAGCAACCCCCCCCCCCCCCCGGACAACCGTCAACGCGCGATGTTTTCCACATGTATCCGGGTCGTAATTTACATATCATTCGAGCGTGTTCTCGGTACGCGCCGTTTTATGTTTTTGTCGATCGTGCGAGCGAAGCAAAGAAAGCGCCACCGGTCTTGCACGGTCGTGACGCGAAAAACGACCACTTGTACGGAGAGCTGCAGCAGGTCGTAACACACGCCGCGAAACGGCATGTGTAATTAATGTCGCTTTTGGTCGGAAAAAACATTCGCAAAAATAACAAAAGCGACGAGGCTCGCGAATGTTTTTCCAACGATCCGTTTACATATTGTGCAAGTACCTTATGCAGTGGTTCACAACTCAACACTAAGCACGGACCACTTTTATAAATTTTTCACCGTTACAGACCACGACCCGATTTCAATCGCCCCCTCCTTATATCACTTATTTTTATTTTTTTACACTTTTATAGTTTATAATTTCTAGAAAATAAAATCGAGAATAAAGTTTATTTAATGGAAAAATATTTTAACCTATATATTTAAAAATTTTATTTAATAAAAAAAGATGGTACAAATTCAAATGTTACAAACGAACTTATATTAAAAAACTTGTCCAATGAGAAAAAAATAAAATACATTTATATACTTAATGAATGTGACTTATCAGGGCGCGCTTCTTTTACCAGTCGTGAAATTCTTGGAACGATGCTGTTGCTCAGTACAAGTCGCATATTAGCACTTGGATTTAGACGATTTCGTTATTTATTTTTTATAGTAAGTAGTGAAGAAAATTCTTGCTCGCATATATACATATTTAAATACATATTGAAAAAACCACGAGGAAATGCAATGCTGTTTGCCGAACATTTGGATTGATATCCCCTTAGCCTTTTTACACCAAAACTCTTCTAAGTTTGTATTATATTCAAATTAACTTTTAAAGGTGTTGTCATTCTGAAGCTCTAATAATTATTGCATTTCCTTTTGAACGTTCTTGACTTCGACAGTGAAAAGATTATGAATTAACTTCTTAAAAGCATCAGTGTCTCTTACACCATATTCTGAAAAGTATCTGGTAAATTCCTCTTTAAGGATTCGTAAGTGTTCTAATATTTTATTTTGAATATCTTCAGTAAAACATTTTTAGTGTTCGTCATCAATAAGAATTCGCAGTGTAGGAAATGCGTAATAATTTTTTATTTGAGTTTTGTCAATCCGAAGATTTATTTTACAGAAAAAAGCGCGAACTTTATCTTCAAATACGAAAATATTTGCAGAACCTTCAAGTTTAACACTACCAGAACCTTGCAGTTGCAAATTTAAATTTAAATGAGCAAATATATCTGCAACATATGAAATTTGCATTTCAATTTTTGGCTCAGAAATTTGCTCATGTAATTATTTTATACCTTTATCAATTAAAAAAACCCTTCAACTCCTCTCGAAACTCAAATAAACATGCCAGCATATTTCCTTTTGAAAGCCATCTTGTTTCAGTATGAAATAGTAATGTTTCATGCTCAGCGTCCATATTTGCACATAATTTTTGAAAAACTTGTATTGAGTGTACTATTTTTAACAGCATTGACTAACTGTCTGGATATTTTCATTGCAAAAGCTAAGTCTTTTAGTAATGTTTTGGACGCCAACGCTTGACGATGTATAATACAGTGCGCTGTTTATGTGGTTGGATTTTTTTGTTTTACCAATGTAGCTAAACCTGAACGTGACCCGAGCATAGCAGGGGCGCCATCGGTACAAAATCCAACAAGATATTCCCACATTAGTTTGTTTTTCAAAATCAAGAATTATTTTCATAACGTCAATCCCTTTTAACGTAGTTTCTAATACTTGTGATAATTATAATTCTTCTTTGATTGTACTATCTTCACTTAAAAATCGAACAAAGATTAGCAATTGACAACAATATGCAACATCTGTACTTTTGTCACACTGAAGAGCAAACCAGAGAAATTTTTTTATGAGATATATAAGCTATTCTTCAATGTTTTGTGACATATTTTCTATTCGTGATTTTACCGTGTTATTTGATAAAGGAATGTCTTGTATTTCTTTTTTGCTGCTTCCTTACCTATAATCACATTGGTGGCTTTCAACAAACACTGTTTAACCAAAGTTTCACCAATCGTACGAGGTTTTTTAGATTTTGCAATTAATAGAGAGATCTCATATGAGGCATGAAGCACTCTTTCAGAGGTTTTAAATCTTATACCACTTGTCCCAAGTTTCATTTTTTTAAAGTTTTCCTTCTTACCTTTAAAGAATTCTCGAAAACGATTTCTAACATTTGGGTGGACTGTCTTCAAATGTCGTCCCAATTTTGCAGGTTTAAGTGCATAATTACTGATAACTGTGGTTCAAATCACGCACTGTGGTCTTACTTCCTTATTCACTGTAATATTAGTAAAACAAGGTTTATTGTAATCATCATTGTATTTTATTTTTAATGGGATGTTTAATAGAAATATTATACAAATAAATAAATGTTAATTAAAAACGTTAATTAATCAAACAACGCACAACGCACGACTCACAACGCACGTGCGATATGACAAATAAATATCATACGAGTAAAAGAATAATAGTCTATATTATGAAGATAAAATACGAAACAAGTAAGTAGGTTAGTGGATAATACCTACGTGATAATAAACTTTACATAACACATTATCGTCAGATTATGAAACATAATACTGTAGTGGAAAAACGCATATAACTATTTATCAAAATTCAGATATACCCGCATGACCGAATGTTATTTATATCTGTACATACATTTTCATTGGTTGCGGGAGTGTATTATCTGGCTGTAGGGTGCTAAGCCTTAATTTCATAAATAACAAAAAATATAAAGTATAATTTCATTCATTTTTTTAAATTTGAATTTCTTCATTCGCGGACCACTTGAGATGAGTCCACGGACCACCGGTTGGGTGTGAGGTTCACTACAGACATCGAAATACTGAACATTGTGTACGGTCCGTCGGTAAAGGTCAGCGCGTTGTCGATATACCATTTCATATGCGGTTTTTGATTAATCGTACGGGACTCCCCCGTGGATAATTGAACGTTATTAACGTACATGCTAGTCAAAATGTAGTGGCTCATAAACATTTAATCCAAAAAAAATGTCTTTGCACTTGTCGAACAGCATACATCGTATACGATATATGTTAATTAATAGGTTTTAATGTACAGGTACAGCAGAGTAAGATAATTATCGTACATCGATATCACGTACATTCGACGCAATGCTATGTGGTTCTCAAACATTTTGAATTGTTTTACGAAAAAAACGAGCCGAATACGCACAGAAAGTGAACACGAAAATGGTGCTATGTGCAATCGACTACTGAATATCGGTTCGGGGACTCATAGATGGATGGCGGGGCGAAATGGATGACGGTTTTGAAATCGAACAGCCGCAGACGTTGTGGTCGGACATTGATAAAATCGCCGAAAAGCGTCGCTGGAAATAACATTTGTGAGACACGACCGAAGCGGTTTTAGACTGCCGCCTCGGCGAGGGAGCGTATTGAAGTGTATCGGAAAAAAAAAATGAAAAAAAAAAATAATACGTACATAAGACCCCGGCGAATTGTATTGCGCGTGAGATAAGAAGGGGCAGCGGATAACCGGGCGCGTCTTTGGCGCTGCGTCGTGGGCGAGGGGTGTACATATTCATTTTGGGTGAGCCGTATAAAACGAGTCGATGCGGCAAATGGCCCTGGCGGGTGAGCGACCGGTGGTAGGAGTCGGTGGGGATGAAGTCGGAGAAAATTAAAATAGCCTCTGGGTTTAATGTCTATTAAAGTCTTGTGCCGTCACAAAAACCGAACACAATGACGGAGAAAACGCCCGGCGGACTTTAAATTGTGTTCGGAGTGAACGCGCACTGCGTTAGGGTGGGCAGGCGGCGGTAGGGTAAGTGGCGAAAAAACCGGCACCGAAAAGTAATTGATACGCGGTGGAGGGAAATGTAAGTTTTTAGTGGTATTGCTTCTTTTGACATTTTGGTGAGCACCGAGGCCGGATGGTCTCGATTATTATATTCTTAAGTTTTTTTTTTCCTCGCTTTTAATAAATCATTCTCCCACTTCACTTCACAAAGACCAGGTTAATAATTGCGAGTACAAATTACATGAACGTATTATATTCATAACGTAATATTTCCCCTATGGATCTTATGTTATGTGCGTAACAAAAAAAAAAAAAAAAAACTACGGGAAAATTGAATTCCCCGAAAATCGGAACATTCCGAAAATACAGTACTTACTGTACTTGATACGTCCACTAAACATTTCTATACTTTTGTAAAGACGGTAACCAACTCTACGGGACTGCAAACGTAATCCGTGCCGAACGTGTTAGAAAACATTTCGTCGAAAACATAACGTGTTCCCGTCGGTGCTCGACTGAGACTTGGATAAAATATTTTATTGTTCTTTGCGGAAAACAACAAAAATAATAACCCGCGAACCTCGATTATCGAGTGGAAATTGTTTTCGTACGGGCTAGAGAAAGAACATGCTGTATACGTGGACGAATATTATTATTATTATTATTATTATAACGTACAGATTCTGGTTTTGCGCGCAGCAATTATTTTCATTATTATTATTATTATTGCCGTAAGAATAGATTCGTTCTCATGCTGCGATTTTCATCAACGATAATTAAAAACAATACACGAGTTGCGAAACGAACAAAATCCTAGTGCACGGATACACATAAGAGCGCGTATTACACGTCTACTATGCGCACCTGAATTAACGTTGCGAAACGGGGGGGGGGGGGGAGAAATTAAAAAATAAACATTGTTTCACTTCGTACGTCTATCGAACGGTTACGCGCATTAATGATCGCGATTGATGAACGTACACACCAGTTCAATTTAATTACGAGGGCATATTATTGTGCTGTAGGTAAGAATTCTAAAACGCTAAATCGCCTATTTGCTGCGATATTGAAATTTTTAATATACACAAACGTTAGCTCGGTACGTGCAGGTAGCTTGTTAGCGATAAAAAATTATTAGTATGCCGATTGTAAGCGCAGTGAAAAAATGTATAAATGTAAACACAGTACGAATGCTTTACATGTTTTATTTTTATTTTATGTTATTATTGTTACAGAAATAATGTAGTAATTCGAACTAATAAATGCATACGTCTTATGTAACACCTATATTATATTTACAAATATTCCTCCGTGACCCAATTCGAAAAAAAAACGCATCGCTATAGTTTTCGAATCTGTGTTCTGGCATAAAATAAAAATTTTATAATCATATCGAATTTTCGTCATTTAATCGAGAGGAGAAGGTTATTTATTATTTTATTTAAATGTTAGCTATATACGTATACACAGTGGCAGCGATGATGACGCCCTTTATGTGCCAAACATATTTTATTACAGTAAGTAAAATATTATAATCGTGTTATATGATACTCATAAACCGTCGGAAAATGTAAATAATGTCAAAAAATGAACAGCTATTGAGTCAACTTTGTGCGCATTATGATTAATAAGGCGAATAATAATGATATTGTTATCAACATATTAGACGTTTAGATGTTATAAAAGCGCATAGATATAGATAGGAGACTGTTTGTCAAAGTATAATGAAAAATTAGGTTTCACTATGAGAGACAATGTATTATAGTTGAAACAGTTTAACTGCATGGTAAACATTATATCGAATTATTATGCATAGATTATTAAAATTCAACTAAAAACCGGTAGAATTTTACTCAAATTATAATTTCATTTTATAAAATAATACACGATTATTGAAGGAAAATAAGGTAAAATGTCGATATTTTTTTTAATCGTTTCAGTAAAAATCTGAAGAATGTCAAAATATAAAAAATGACTTGGTTAGAATAATTAAAAAAAATCATTTCCAGCTCGATTACGAATCCAGGTATTGCCATTAGTAAATAATAGTAGAAACCAGCATTGAAGGGGAAAAAAATTGCAATTTTCGACCGTCGATGATCGCAATGGGGAAGCCACAAAGAAAACAGGGCGGACAAATCTGACAGTTAGAGAAAACCCCTGATTTAGTGTGTACATCAACTACTCGTATAATAACATGGGTACTTATATATACCACATCCATCGGCCAACAGTAGATTTTGAAGATACAATTATTATTTTCATACCATCAAATCCATTGACTTTTCATGCCCTCATAAACCTAACCAGACGAGAAGATTTCATGAATAAAAATTAAAAAAAAAATATCACAATATTTCTATAAATGAAAACGCAGGGATGTATTTTGTTTTTTATTATTATTAGAATTGTGATATGAATTATGTTTTTTTTTTTTTTTAATAGTAAACGATGTTCAAAGCGAGCTTGAATTCACCTCGATTATTATCAAGATCATGTATATCCACGTGAAACAATATCACTACTTTTTACCATCAATGTACAGTTTGTATTAAACACGCCATCGATTATTATTATATTATATATAATATATTATATATATTATTATTTAATATTAGACAAAAAGAGAATTATGAATTTTTTTAAATTCCCATAGCATTTCTAGGAACCAGATAAAACAGAAAATTTTCAAAAAATACTCTTTTAAGCTGCACACCGACGGTACTTGGTTCGCTGAGGTACAGCTCAACGCGGAGAATCGACAATATTCAGTGCTCGACTTCGCAAAATTAAAGGAGGAGGACTCTATTTAAAAAAAAAAAAATAGCGTCCCCAAAACGTGTTAAGCGTTATAACGTAATAGTAGTAGAGGGACGTTAAAATTTCAGAAAATTAGTTGGTGTACTCCGTGCCCTTGCGTCCCCCCTCAAATCAAGCATCGACAACATCACAACCATACGACCGTGTGCACGTCCGCTTTTACGCGTTTCGTCACAACACTGAATGTTTACATTTCCGGTGAACAGGACCGGTGTTCCCGTTGCCCACACGCGTTCAACAAATAATTTTCGGAAGTTTATTTTCCTTGTATGATTCTCTGCAGAAGAACACTACGTCTACGAACTATTATGGTAGAAAATTTTATTGAAGTGACACCTAGTGAAAATTACTTAAAACACATGTTCTGCACTGTTGTGCACGTAAGGTTATCTGAAGCGAAGTTGCCCGATTGAGGTCCGAATCCAGGTAGTCGTATTTTATCCCAAATATAAGTATCCTGATTGCGTCCAGACACACATTGGTTCACAAAATGTTTAATATTTATTTTTAAAGTATAATTACAAGATTGCAATAACAAATAGTAAAATAGTAAAATAATATATTTTTTACAATATAAAAAGATATGAAATACAATTATGTCAGTAAATAGTCAATAAATAGTCGAATATTAAAATAATAAATTGTCTACAGTAAAAAAATAGATAATAGTTG